AGTCGCTGTGGCAGCGCTTCCGCATGGCTCACGCAGGAATGAATGAATGGCTGGGCGCTGCCTCTTGATTTATACTTCAGAAACTCGTTGGTCTGCCCTTTGCCATCGGCCCTTGGTGCTCACAGCCCCCCTGTGGTACTTGCTGGACCGGACTGGGAGTGACTGGACCTTCTGCTGACTGACTGTGGACTCACCGCTATCCTACCGACGTTGTACTGCTGTTGCACTGCGGTTTAGTCCACCACTTGCCTCACCACTTGACCACTTGCCCACTTGCCTACCTTCTAGAAGGTCTACAGCTAAGCTTCTGGAACTCACTAAGACTCCTACGCTATAGACCTACAGATCGAACCCCTGCTGCCTATGGACCTACGACAGGCCTACCAACTGCCTACGAATACACAGGTCACAGGTCCAATTCCCGGGGTCTACACAGATACTGTACATGGGTAGGGTGAGGTCTAGGGATCAAACCCCGGGTACTGCATCCGCTACTGCTAAAAGGTGAAAACCGTTTCAGGTGTTTCCTGAAATTGTTTTTTTGTTTTGCTCCAGTGGCCTGTATCTCTGTTTCGATTACTTGTTTGATGGTGATGAGGGGATTCTCTGAGTTGGCGCTGGAATCATTGAAGTTTGCCTAACATCTTTTTTTCCAAATTGCCCAGAGAGTACCTTTTGTTGATGAGAGCAAAGAGGAAGAGCTCAGAGTTCAAAGCCTTTAAGAGGGGAGGTTTGTTCTTTGTCTAGGAATAGAGTAGCGGGGTTAGTTGCGATCGTTCTTTTGGAGTGTTTGTTCCAAGTTTTTATTATGTCTTGCCAGAGCTGTTTGACCTTTACGCAGTCTGTGAAACAGTGGTTGAGGGATTCATCAGTTTGTGAATTGCATACTCTGCACCATGCTGTTTGCTCTGTTCTCTCTTCTTTTCTTCTTCTTTGTGATAGCCATAAGTTGACAGGGACTGCTCTGAAGGTTATAAGCCATGGTAGGCTTGCTAGTTTGGTTGGTCTTGTGCAGAAGATCGAGTGCCAGGTTGGTTCGATGGTAAGGCTTGGAAGAGTGGTTTCTTCTTTTCCCCGTCTTCTTTGAAGTATACTTGATACTGAGGTAGGTTTTGAGAAGAGTCTGTATCCTAGTTTAGGAATGTAGTCGGTTAGCATGTGGCGACGTTCGATCAGGGATTGGGGGGTTGTTGAGCTCCAGGACCACTCAGCTGGGTCTATTTCCAGTTGTCGTATTTCTGTTTCAGGCTCGTAAACCCTGTTTCTGTCCCCTTCAATTACTCTGATTCTTTGAAGGTTGTTAGCTTTAAATGCTCCTTCTGCTCTGCTTTCCCTGTTGAGGGCACTCGACGGGTTGCCCGGTTCCTCTAGAGCGAAAATGGAGCACGGAATCCAATCTTTGTTGTGTTGTTCATAGCTGATTATTTTGAGGACCTCCTGAATTACTGTTTGTCCCCTCTGTGTTGCCCAGTCACCCCAAAGCCAGTTTTGGGTGGATTTTAGTAGGAGTCTCCAATCCATTGGGATACTTTCGATAATAGTCGCAATGCTGATTTGTAGATTGTGGCTGCCTTTCAGGGTTGTCCTTAGTTCCTTCTCGGATTTCCAGGTCTTTGTGTCTTCGTTCCATAGGTGTTGGATCTGCCACACGCCTTTTTCTAACCAATTTCCCCATTTGGTGTTAGTTTTGGTGAGTTGGATGTTGTGACCGTTCTCATCCACGATCCATGAGTTGCCGAAAATAGGATGTCTGAGGACTTATCCCTTCTTTTGGGGCCCACTTTGTTTTTTGGAGAGATCTTTCTCCATTGGTTTATGAGTTGTTCCCAAAAGGATTTTGTGTTGTCTTGGTTCCCTTCGTCTTCTGTGTCTTGTCGGTTGTTTCTGTTTCTATTTACTTTGGGGAGGGACCAATTTGGATTGTAGATCCCGAATAGGCCTGTCATGTTCGGAGGGAAGTGGAAGGGTGCCAGTTCCCTAATGTGATTGCGGGCCAACGGTATCCATTGAAGGTAGCCCTGCAGTGTTAGTCTGATGATCCATTTTATTTGGAGTGCTTGGATCTGACGTGCTGGGCTTATGACTCCTAGTCCACCTTTTCCTTTGGGTTGCGTGACTATTTGCCATGCTACTATGTGAATGAAAATGTTGTTTATTAGGGTTCCCTGTCCATAGAAAGGCTGCTGCCTTTTGGCGGATGTGTTGTTGAAATTCTACTGAGGGGAGCCAGATCGAGGTGGCATACCACATCATTGCCAAGATTTAGCTGTTCAAGGCCAAGGTTCTTCCGCGTAGGGAGGTGTATGCTCCCTGCCAATTGTGCATTCTGTTGGACATTGATGTCATCAAGGATTGGGCTGCTATTGGATGGCAGTCTTTTGAACTGATGTTAATTCCTAAGAAGCGGATGGGTGATGTAGGGTCTGGCCATTGTAGTCCATCCAAGGATAATTGTAGTGGAGGAGGGGGAATCTGTAAGCCACCAGTCGACCGTTTTCGACCAGTTAACTTTCATTTCCGAAGCCAATTGAAATGCTTGCATTGCCCTCGTCAGTGGTTAGAAGGAAAAGCTAGAGGCTCTGATTAGGACTGTTAGATTGTCAGTGAATAGGAGGGTGGTTGGTAAATTAAGGGTTTGACCTTTTTCGTCTAACGTTTTGTAGACGTTCTATTGAGATATCTTTTCTCAGGAAGGTTGCAACGACTTCCATGACGAAGAGAAAAATAGGGGCTGCTAAGGGGTCGCCTTGTCTCACCGACATTGTAGAGCTGCTGCCTACTCCCATCTTTTCCATACACATTTGGAGAAAGTCCCAATTAACCTGGTTGTATGTTTTTTTGAAGTCAAAGAATAGGATGGCCGTTGCAATCTTCTTTTGATTGATTATTCTGGTCGATTCGCATAGGGCGATCACGTTGTCTAGTATGAGTCAGCTTGGGATAAAGCCTGTCTGATCCAGGTGAAAGCAGTTTCCTGTTATTTTGTTGAATTCCATAGCTAGGAGCTTGGCAAGGATCTTGTAGGCCACATTT